TCAATGAATTAGATAAGATGACTAGCAAAAGGGGTTTATGAACTTGGGATATCGTATGGGGGTTGGTTTCTGTAATGGAACATTCGAACCACCTCTGCGGGGGTAAAATGCATGGTATGGGACGTGCAAGTCCGCGTGTTTTATTATATTAATTAACGGGGGTAGCCGAAGAGGTTCAATTGCATTCATGCATTATTTTATCAATAATGATTTGATATTCGGCTATATGATTTCATGACACATAATTTAATATTGTCAATTTACTGTGATAAGGTTATGTCCCTACTGAGCGACGGTGGTTGTTGCTCACCCCTAACCTATTATTTTACTGATGAGTTATTTGGCAACACTGGTGATAGACGAACTAAGGTTGTGTTAGACGAGGGATCTAAGAGTGTTGATTTATTATTTATGTACACCTTGTAAGAATTTTGGAGTTATTTTTAATAAGAGGAGTTTATTTTCCAACCCGTGTCAATTTGTATTTATTTATTGAGCTTTTAACTCACGTTTCGGATTCGGGTTCGAGTTTTATTACCGACTCCGGGTCTGGGGTGTGACAGAAATCCTGCTCTCGCCCAAACTCGCTTAACTTCGGATTTCAGATGGAACCCGAAGCCAGTGATCTCCCAAAAGGCCTCGTGCTAGGTAGAGATGGGAATATACATATAAGGCTTACATGATCCACTCCCCTGGGTGATATGGGATGTTACAATTATTATCCTTAAATAAAATTATTAGATGATTTTTGGTTAAAATGCAAAAGTTTTGAAACCTTTTTCATAAATTTTCCTTAATTGTATTATGTTTTCCTTGCTTCGGGTATGTAGGGGATGTGCTTTCAGGGTTATTGTTTCTTTCAATTGTTCTAAATGAAGAAAGTTAGGCTAACCGGGTCTTAATTGTATTTGTAGAGATTCTATGTAAAATTTTGATTCAATTCCCTCAAAATCTCTTGGGAGAGGTGAGATTTGTGGATGCTTAAAATACACTACAAAATCTCTCAAATTCCCTCTAATTCCTCAACTTTGTAAATTCTTTAAAATCAAATTCTAATTGAATACACCTGGAATGTTATAAACTTCTTTAAAATCTTAATGGAATACACCCGGATTTCTAAGGATTTTAATAAACTATCTTAAAATCTTGATTGAATACGCATTAAATTTCAGAGAATCACTTAAATTCCTGATTGAATACCCCTATATTCATTAAAAGAATTAAAATCCCTCAAAAACTCAATTGAATACACCACCCTAAAACTCAAATTTTAGTTTCTAAACCTATCCTAATTTGCTCCAACACTTGGGCCACATATGAGTTTTAACCCAAAACTCATTGTTAGGGCAAATTTAGGCCAGAACTTTCCCTGGGTTAGTGGCTAGCTCACCATATATGTGTATTTTGTTTGTTTTATATTTATAAATTCATTGAATTCAACAGCTACGATCTTATGATCAAATACAACGGTAAAAAAGATTCAATTGTCCAAATTTAAATCAATGGCTAAAATAATAAAAAAAAATTCTTTTATGTGCTTCATATTCTTTCATAGTGTTCCACGAGTTTCATAGTGTCGGTTTAATGATTTTTTAATATTTATCGGAATCTAAATATTTTTAGGTTAAAATGCTTATAAATTAAATTAGGATAGTCTACATAATTATCCTAAATTTATTCTTTAATAATGTCAGGCTAAAATTTATCCTAAATGGGTTGGAGCAGAAAAACTGCTTATTGTTGTGGCTTATTTTATTGACAGGGACAGAAAGGGCCGGCAGCATAGAGAGAGATGTGTTTGTAGGGTTGTGTAGAGGATGTGTTATCCCCCAATACAGTACCTTTATTTATAGTAATAAGGGAGGGAATAATCCTTCTCGTCCAAGGAATACAAGTCCTAATAGGAAGAATAACTATAATCAAATCTAATGACACACCCCGACCCTAAAATCAGGGTGTGCTGGCCGTCACGTGGGTGTGACGTAACCAAAAGTGCGATGCGGAAGCAAAAAGGTAAAGAAATACGAAGGAATAAAAACCAACTACTAGCAATAATATCCAACTAACGTGCTAGAGAGAGTTTAAGTGTGAAATACACACAATCAGAGCATAAGTACTAGGTGCAGTCAAGTAGGACCATTACTAAATTACAACACCCGAAGGTGAGTCCTACATTTAAGTAGTCTATCAGAACGCCGTGGAAATCCTAGTGAGCCACCAACATTGCTAACTAGAACCTGGATGGGCGCAAAACAAGATTTAGTGGGTCAGTAAAACAAAGCTTTTCGAAAATATTTCAATTAACAACACTTCTAACCCCTCGCTGTAAAACCTGTATACTTTCCCAAAAAATAGTATATATATAACCATATATAATAGCAAATAACTCAAATCACAAGTCTTTAACACTTTTCAGGAAATATGCCATGCTATGCTTCAAAACATAATAAGGATGCAACAATATAACAGGTGAAATAAGGAATCAACTGGAGACCCTGCAACTGTCATGTACAGTTAATTCTATAGCTCAATATCCAATCCAACCGGAGTCACCAATTGTGACCTGTACGGCGTTACTCTGCACATAAATCGGAACTACCTGAAGTAGTATGTACGACAAAAATGGTGTAAGACTCTAGTGCTTCTCTCATCAACAGCTGTATAATAATCTAAAGTCACCTACAAGTCGGAGCCACCTTTAATGGTCTGTACGACATGTCGGAACCACCTCTAATGGTCTGTACGACATGCACCTACTTGGATCCAAGGTGAGCGTGTGGTGCAGGGTGAATAATATAAGCACTAACACCAGGGGTGCAGGTTATGGGCTCTAAACACAATTCAAATCATCAATAAATCACATGAACAACATAAAACTCACCTGATACTCACCTGTGTGTCCACAACACCATTTCATATATATGCATCAAATACTAATTCATATTCATATATTAAGTATGCATGGCTTTTTAAAACATACTTTCATTTAAATTCAATTTCTGGGAAAAGTTAGTAGTATATAGGTATATACGGAAAATAACTGCCCACTCACTGGTATGTCGAATGGTCGTAACCCCCATGACGCCCTTAAATGCGCTCGTCCTCGGGATAGGTATCACCTATATGCGAAACAACTATAAAAACGTTATTTTAAAGCACATAACCAACAATACGTAATAACTTCTCATACGATGCTCAATTTGGGTATATGAATATACCACAGTGACCTGCTCGACGTCGAGGTATTTTTAGAAAAAAATTTCAACGCAGCACGCGCCCCCACGTGCCGGGAGAGGCACGGTGCTACGCGCCCCCACGCGTGTCATCCCCTACCTCCAGACGCCGGAAAATCTCGCCGGCGCAGGAAACTGGGCAGACCTGCAATCACCATTTTCTCACTCGATTTTGCACCATTTTTCACGAAATTTTCACCAAAACTTCACAAATTTCGAGAGGAAGAAGGCTATACCTTTTAAAACTTCCAAATCCTTCGAAAACTCGTCGGGATAATTCACCAAAACCGGCCACCTTCGAACTAGGACTTCCCGACGTCCAAAACTTCCAAACGAACGTCCCCGAGCTTCGTGGGAACCTCCTTAAGCTCACTGTGAGCTTAAAATTCCCTGAAATACAATGTTTTACGTGTGCATGAACAATGCACATTTTCGGGGTTAGGGTTTCACGATGATTTCGAAGGTCATAAGTTCTAAAATTAGTATGTTTGAACTCAGGGACTCAAGATGAGTTCGATTCTTACCTTAGAACCTTCGATCTGTGAAGAAATGGCATAGAACAAGCTTGTCCGTACGTGCACAGTGACAAGGTGCAGAAAAACCGAGAGAGAGAAGGGAGAGAAAGTCCACGGGAGAGAGAGAAAAGGCAGGTTTAAGTGTGTGTGGTCCACATTAAACCCTAACCACACAATTGAAAACATAACCTAAGTTCCAAATTAAATTTTCCACAAACTTAGGAAGGACAATATTAATCAAATGTACAAGTCACACACACACCTTAGAAATCTTTAGGGACAATTCCGTCTTTTCACATCAACGATAAATGTAAATTCCGGGACGGGCTGTGACATCTAATCTAGGATTTACACAATCACATTTAAATACAAAGTTTATAACACTTATGGCTTAAAACATAAATTTTCTGAATTAAAAATTTTAAATTTGAACCAAAAGATTGGAGATAGTTTTGACTAAAAAAAAAATCAATACACAAAATATATCACCTGACTACGTTATTTTTCCAAAAAAAATAAAAGTGAAATTTTATTTGAACCCTAAAAACTTCTTTCCATACCCAACTTAAATATTTTTGCCATTAAACTCTCCACTTTACCCCTAAATTAATGTGAGATAAGAAAAGTATACTGAAAGGAGATGAACCCATATCAACCCCACCAACGCCCGATGTCTTATTCACTGAGGCGGGTGAATCTTTTGTGTCAACGTCTTCTCTTTTCAGGCTTTTTTTCCATTCTCTCTGTTTCCATACTATATTCTCCTCCTCCTCCTCCTCTTTATTGCTCACTTCCTTCAACCGACAAATGCCGAAAGCAAATTGGGGCCTACATAGTTTTCGAGTGTTACAGAGTCGGTGACGTGGAGAATCACAACCAAGGGTACCTCTATGTTGTATGGAAGGCGTTAGATGTCAAAGCTTGTGGAAGGTAAATGGGCTGCCATGGAAAGCAGAAGTTCCCTTGAAAAATCACCAGCAAATATCTGGTGGGGTTTGAGGGAAAAAGATCCTCTCCGGATGTCACAGCCTGTCCTGAGATTTTCTTATTGAGGACGTGAAATGACGGAATTACCCTTGACGGGTATTTAGGTATATGTGTATGTGCTATATTATTTGGACTAAATATACATCCCTAAACTTTTAGAGAAAATAATTTAAGTTGGATTAAAATTGGTTGTATTTTGTGTGTGGTTAGGGATTGTTTTGGACCATACATACAACCTGTTTTCTCTCTCACTCACCCCGTCTCTCTCTCTCTTCCCTCACGGCTTTCTCTCTCTCCCTCTCGAACCATACGGACAAGCATAGAACCTCCCATTTCTTCACGGATCGAAGGTTCTAAGGTAAGCATTGAACTCCCCTTGAATTCCTGAGTTCAATTATACTAGTTTTAGGACGTGAAATCCTCAGAATCGTCGTGAAACCTTAACCCCAAAAATGTGCACTGTTCATGCACACGTAAAATCTTGCATTTCAGGGAATTTCAAGCTCACAGTGAGCTTAAGGAAGTCCTCACGAGCTTCGGGGTACGCCGTTGGTAGGTTTTGGACGTCGGAGGACGGAGAACGGAACGTTTCAATTTTGGCCGGAACTCTTGAAGCTTTTTCCGGTGAATCCCCGGCGAGTTAGGGGTCGAGGCAGGTATGGATGTGTTCATCTCGTCAAGATCTTCATTTTGATATAAAGAACGTTGAAAATGGTGAAGAAATGAGGAAGTTATGGACGTTTGAAAACTGCCCAGTTTCCGACCACCGGAAAAACCAGTCCGGCGACTGGTTGAGGAAGAAGACGCGCATGGGGGCGCGTAGGTCCGTGCCACCCACAGCGCGTGGGGGCGCGTGCCACGTCAAAAATTATTTTAAAAATTTGTCGACGTCCGTGACGCCGAGTAGGCCACTGTGGTATATTCATATACCCAATTTGAGCACCGTATGAGAAGTTATTACGTATTGTTGGTTATATGCTTTAAAATAACGTTTTTATAGTTATTTCGCATATAGGTGATACCTATCCCGAGGACGAGCGCATCCAGGGATGTCACGGGGGTTACGACCCTTCGACTTATCAATGAGTGGGCAGTATTTCTGTTTATACCTATATACTATTAATATGTTTCCCAGAAATTGAGTTTGAATGAAAATACGTTTTCAAATGCCATGCATGCATGATATGTGATATATGAATTGATAATTGATGCATATATATATGTGAATTGGTGTTGTGGACGCACATGTGAGTATCAGGTGAGTTTTATGTTATTCATGTGCATTGTTGATGTGTATATTGTTGATAGCTCATAACCTGCAATCATGGTGTTAGTGCTTATATTATTCATCTCGCACCGCACGCTCACCTTGGATCCAAGTAGGTGCATGTCGTACAGACCATGAGAGGGTTCCGACATGTCGTACAGACCATGAGAGGGTTCCGACTGATAGGTGACCTTAGATTGTGTACATAGATGATTGATGAGAGAAGCACTAGAGCGTATTATTACACCATTCATGTCGTACAGACTACTTCAGGTAGTTCTGACTTATTTGCAGTGTAGTGCCGTACAGGTCACCGAGGTGACTCCGGTTGGATTGGATGTTGAGCTATAGAATTAACCGTACATGACCAACTGTAGGGTCTCCGGTTAATTCATTATTTCACTTGTTACATTGATGCATCATTCATTCTGTTTTTGAAATTACAACATGGCATACTTTCTGGTTTTTGAGAAAAATTGATGATTTGAGATTTATGAAAAGTATTATGCTATTATGCTATTTTCTGGGAAAGTATACAGGTTTTACAGCGAGGGGTTAGAAATGTTTTAAATGAAAGGTTTTCGAAAAATTTTGTTTTACTGACCCACTCAATTTTGTTTTGCTCCCCTCCAGTTTCTAGTTAGCAGTTGGTGGCTCACGAGGTTTCGTTTCAGCGTTCTGACAGACTTCTACATGTAGGACTCACCTGCGGGTGTTGTAACTTAATTATAGTCCTATTTGACTGCACCTATTGCTTAAACTCTGTTTATGTGTGCACTCACACTTTAACTCACTCTAGCATGCTATTTGGTTTTTATTCTTGCTAGTGGTTGGTTTTTATTCTTTCGTAATTCTCTTATCTTTGCTTCCGAACCGCACTTATGGTTACGTCACGCTCACGTGACGGCCAGCACGCCTTGATTCTAGGATCGGGGTGTGTCACCGGATCCCTTCCTTCTAATCCACCAAGTCCGGAGATCCAGACCATTGAAATTTAATCTAACGGCTAAAGTTATTATAACTTTTAAAGTGGACATCTGTTTAAAGTAGACCCTTGTTTGTCCCCATTGAATCAAATTTCAATGGACCGGATCCCCGAACTTGATGGATTAGGAGGAAGGGATCTGGAGAGGATTCCTTTCCTGGTTTGAGGTGGACAGTGGGTGTAAAAAGACGTTTTGATTTAGTTTTTTGTTTTTCAATTTTATACAAGGATGGATTAGGAATTTGAATAAAATACTTTTAGAATTAAGTGTAAAAAGAGGTTGAATGAATTTTAATAAAATTTTCCAAAATAAAACTCATTGTACATTTCAAATTTTTTATATTTAGCAAACAATACAATTATAAAGTGTATACAAAGAGTTTTTCCGAGTATAAATAACGGCCAAAATAAAAACATTAATTTATTAAAAAACTATAAATACGGAAATCTCCAACATTTTCCCTCTCAACTAAAACCCTAGCCTGACAGTCTTCGTCTCTCTTTGACCAGTCTTATACAGAATAACCGAGCAATTGACCTCTCCGGCAATCGCATCTTAAGGCTCTCGAGAGGCGATTGCTGCAACAATCGAATGCGATTATGGCAGGTGGTGATGTCGCCGAACCAGCTAGCTTGTCCTGTGCCAGTTGCGGCAAGCCTGCCCATCTTCAGTATGTCAAATTTTCACTTCCAACTTTTCAATTTCAGCTACTTCTTCCTCTATCTGTTAATTTCTGTAAAAAAGTGAAATTTTTTGTACTTTTTTTTTTTGTGGTAGATCAAAGACTGGTAACAAATTTTGTTATTTTAGTGAAGCTATAGCGTTAGAGGGTTAGATAGTTTAGTTGTAGGCGGATGGGAATCGGTGGGGATCGAAGTCGCACAGGGGCATAGGCATAATTGCTTTCCACCACTGCAGCAACAAATTTTGTTTGGAAAAAGTGAATATGTTTTAAAATATTTGGAAAGTTTGAGGGAGTAGAGAGTTTCCATTTCAATTGAAAAATATTTAATCTTTGTGCTTCTAATTGTGTAAATTGCTTTGATTATTAAATTAAAAAATGGTACTTATTGTGGGTGATTTGTTACATTCTTGAGTGGTACTTGATTTTTTGTATGCAGGTGTCCCAAATGTGTGCAATTAAAGCTCCCTCGCGAAGCTGCTGCTTTCTGGTTTGTAACAACTTCCTTCTTTATATAAATGCCAGTCCGATTTTGATACAATTTTAGTGGAAAAATTTGGTGGTATGTAGTGATTGTCATTGAGTCGAGCATTTCAAGTGTTTAACTTCATTAAGGAGTTTTGAGACATCGACACTTCGATTTTACAAATTAGATTGAACTTGTTGATAGAAGCTTGAAAATGATTTATTCAGTGTTCATAATTGATGAAAATGTGCTTCTCTTAACAGCACTCAGGATTGTTTTAAGGCTTCTTGGAACTCTCACAAATCCGTGCATCTAAAAGCCAAGTCGTCTGAAGCTGGGTCGGGTACTCCAGAGGAAGAAGGCTGGCTATATTGCTTGAGGAAAGGACAAGCTCGAACAGCAAAGCTTCCGTATTTTGATTGGACTGGGTATGTTTTTTATGATTTTCTTTGCATTTTCATTCATATTAATTGTTGTAGATTCATAGGCTTTATGGTTCTGATGCTTGCATTATTTCTTTTAGGATTAGAAAATTTTGTATCATGTTAATTGCTGATAACATTGGATGAAACAAATTTTGTATCATGTTAATTACTGATAACATTTGTTGAAGCCGTTGTTCATTCCTCTCTTGTGCAGGGCACTGAGGCCGTATCCTATATCTAGTAAGCGTATAGTACCTGCTCATATTGATCTGCCTGATTGGGCATCCGATGTAAGTTGTTGGAATCATTTCGAATGTATTTTAAATGGCCAATTTGAGTAGATACTATGCTACATTTTGTTGTCATTTCTGTCATTTTAATGTTGGCCTCGTATAACAAAATATTGCAGGGGATTCCAAAAGCTGAGCCCAATAGTGATCTGCAGCGCGTTGTTGAGGTAAGCGTTTTCTTGAAACCCTCTTGAGTCATACATAAGGAGTAGATCTATGTGTTATTGAGTTAGACTTTCTACTTTTTATATTGTACTTTTCCTTTATACTCAATTCATTTTCTTATTTCAAAATGATGAATGATATATTCATTTTGAAGATCAAGACGGCGGATCAAATTGAGAGAATGCGAGAAACTTGTCGAGTAAGATTCAATTGCTTCTTTCTTTCTATTCCCCTTAATTTTGTGCTAATGAAGCAGTGTGAGCCTTCTTGATGCTGTATTATTTCACTTTTATTATCTGTTGTACTTTCAGCACTGCAAAAAAATTAACATGTGCTATTTATCTGAATGTGAGACAATGTTATTATACCGTTTTGAATATGTTCAAGAAGAATTTTCTGTGTTCAGTTTAAATTTTAATTAATCTTGCTACGACATGTAACTTTTAATTTACTAATATTATGATGTTCTTGTCATAATCGTTTTGTTAGATTGCAAGGGAGGTTTTAGATGCCGCTGCTCGTGTAATACGGCCTGGTATCACAACAGATGAAATTGATCAGGTGGTCCATGAGGCTACTATTGCTGCTGGTATAGAATGAGTTTCCATTTTATTTAGAATTTCAATTACTATGTTTCATTGTCTATTATTGTAACTGTCTATGCCTTTACCTTTCAAGTGTATGGCCAAACCTCATTGATCTGTCATATGCTTTGGAATGGCCATGTGGTATAATCATTACTATCTGCATTTTTATATTGTTCAGAATAAAAAATTGTGGGTGTAATGATGTTTCACTTTTAACTCAACGCAGGTGGATATCCATCTCCTCTCAACTACCATTTTTTCCCCAAGTCTTGCTGCACGTAGGTACTTTTTGCGTAAATATTTTTGTGAAGTTTCTTGAGATTGTGTGGTACTGACCTTGCAATTGCATCTTGTTATCTCTCTTCATTGCAGGTCAGTCAATGAAGTAATTTGCCATGGTATTCCTGATGCCAGGTATGCGTTTGAGATTTTTTTTTTATTTGAGATTTTGTTTTTATTTTTGTTTGGAGGATAGTATTGAAAAGGAATATGGACATACTCTTACTGTTGCCTATATATGTATTTATTGAAAACATTTGTTGGTGTATGTTGTAATTTTGTTTCTTGCCAGTTCAGTTTTCGGTCCTGAAATGCTATTGTTATGGAACAACACTTTGGTAACTTTAATGGACTGGCATGAGTTTGTATTGCGTTGGGGTACATTACCTGAGAAAACGTTTGCTTTTTGCCTGCATCTTTTTCTTTGTTTTTTCTTTGTGTTTAAATTTGCCCAGAACTTGAAATTTGTGTCTACTTTAGAATAGTAAAATCCCTTGGTTTCTAGCATTATGACCTTTTTATGTTTAATGTGAAACTTTTGCTCCAGGAAATTAGAGGATGGTGATATAATCAATGTTGATGTGACTGTGTATTATAAAGGCGTCCATGGTAATTTGTATTCTAGACATTAACATGTAGTTCAATTTTGAAAACACGTGTTCTATTCTTGAACTGCCGAACTCATATTGCAGGTGATTTAAATGAAACATACTTTGTGGGAAATGTTGATGAAGAGTCTCAACGGCTAGTCCAATCTACTTATGAGAGCATGGAGAAAGCAATATCCATCGGTATGTGTACAGTATGATATACCAATTTTAAGATAAATATCTCTCCCTGATCTCCCTTTTTAACGCATCCATCACTAATTATTGCTTTAACAATCATGCAACTCAATTATATCACTGAAAGTCATCACACCTTTTATCAGCTACCTAGTATTCATTTATATGGTATACTTATCGTTTTATCTGATGTTGCTTTTTATTACTTTTGGTACCATGGAAGTTGTAATTTATAAGTAATCATTGTTAAAATGTATTTGTGGTTGTGTTTGCTTAATTGTATCAGTAAATTCTGTGAAGATTTTTTAGTTATAAGTGCAATCTTGTCACCTGACCTGATGGCAACTGAAATGTTGAAAAGTCAACCTATTTAACCCCTATTTGAGAGTGCACTCTAGTAATTTCAATCGTTGTTAACAAAAAGCATAAAAGGAAAAGTAGATTTCTAATTTATTTATTTATTTTTGTACAAGTGCAGTAAAACCTGGAATGCGATTCCGTGAAGTTGGTGAAGTCATTAATCGCCATGTAACTATGTCGGGATTCTCTGTGGTAATTTGTAGCCTGAGTTTTGAGTTGTGATGCATTTTCAATTTTAACAAATCATGCCTATTAATTTTGTATTGCACCAACAGGTGAAATCAATTTGTGGTCATGGTATTGGGGAGCTTTTTCATTGTGCACCAAATATTCCCCATTACACAAGTATGTTCAACAAAGAAACTTCTTTATATCTGAATTACACTTTTAATAGCTTGCACCTTTTACATACATTACCTTTACCCAAACAGGAAACAAAGCAGTTGGTGTAATGAAAGCTGGACAGACTTTTACAATTGAACCCATGATAAATGCAGGTATATTTCAAAGCTTGTTTTATGAGCACATGGGGGGTGATATGTTCGTTAATTGTTTGCTACATCTTAATAAAATAAATAAAACATGAACAGGGGTTTGGCGTGATCGGATGTGGCCTGATGGATGGACAGCTGTTACAGCAGATGGCCAGCGCAGTGCACAGTTTGAGCACACACTTCTGGTAACTATGCAGTTTATGTTCTATGTGTAGCATGCTTTCAACTTCTGCAACGGTGACTGCATTATAGTTATTGGAAGTGCTTATGCGGTTTTAATACTCAAATTCCATGGAATGATCTCTACATGTTCTTTTAACATTTCTTCCATATGTTTCTTATAATATCATTAGTGAGGTTTGTTCTAGGGTATAAATCAGTCAGCTCATTTGTGTAAAAGAAAATAAATAAGTCTTCTACTCAATATAGTAACGATGGATAATACTCGATTATTGATGGTATGAGGATAGTAAAGGTGATAGAGATCTTTGCAGCGGGAGATTTACAGGATTTAGATATCAAATTATCCCAACATTGAATTGCAATGCTATGCATCTATTAACAAATACACTAAGTAATAGTTGGCGTTGCATGGATATTAGTCCGAGTTAATCCTTGTTATTCACATTTGTTTGCTGAATTGCTATCTATACGATGATCTTGTATCTCTAATCTCATGGTTTATTCTTCCTACACATGCATAGGTGACAGAGACTGGAGTTGAAGTTCTTACAGCTCGGTTGCCATCATCACCCAAAGTGTTCCCTTGGTTAAATGCTTAATGACTGCGTCCGTCTTGGTTCATCGAAAGAAGGTGAACAGGTAAGGATGTAATTCAGGATGTAATGTTACTCCATGCATTAGTAAAGAAGATAATCATTGTGTAACTTTACTTCTTAAGTTTTGGTTAAATTAAAAATGAATTAAGTAAATTGTTTGTAATCGTTAATTGAAGCTTAAGAAGTTTTATGAAATTATTTTTGGTCGTTTGCAAGAGTTCATGAATCATTCATGAAGAATTGTATCATTGTGAAGGAATTGTATCGTGTCCAACATGTATGATGCCCAACTGCTTGTGAATTTCTACAGAGTTTGCATTTTGGGAAATATTTTGTGCTAATGAAGCAGTGTGAGCCTTCTTGATGCCGTATTATTTCACTTTTATTATCTGTTGTACTTTCAGCACTGCAAAAAAATTAACATTTGCTATTTATCTGAATGTGAGACAATGTTATTATACCGTTTTGAATATGTTCAAGAAGAATTTTCTGTGTTCAGTTTAAATTTTAATTAATCTTGCTATGGCATGTAACTCTTAATTTACTAATATTATGATGTTCTTGTCATAATCGTTTTGTTAGATTGCAAGGGAGGTTTTAGAAACCGCTGCTCGTGTAATACGGCCTGGTATCACAACAGATGAAATTGATCGGGTGGTCCATGAGGCTACTATTGCTGCTGTTATAGACTGAGTTTCCATTTTATTTAGAATTTCAATTACTATGTTTCATTGTCTATTATTGTAATTGTCTATGCCTTTACCTTTCAAGTGTATGGCCAAACCTCATTGATCTGTCATATGCTTTGGAATGGCCATGTGGTTATAATCATTACTATCTGCATTTTTATATTGTTCAGAATAAAAAATTGTGGGTGTAATGATGTTTCACTTTTAACTCAATGCAGGTGGATATCCATCTCCTCTCAACTACCATTTTTTCCCCAAGTCTTGCTGCACGTAGGTACTTTTTGCGTAAATATTTTTGTGAAGTTTCTTGAGATTGTGTGGTACTGACCTTGCAATTGCGTCTTGTTATCTCTCTTCATTGCAGGTCAGTCAATGAAGTAATTTGCCATGGTATTCCTGATGCCAGGTATGCGTATGAGATTTTTTTTTTTTATTTGAGATTTTGTTTTTATTTTTGTTTGGAGGATAGTATTGAAAAGGAATATGGACATACTCTTACTGTTGCCTATATATGTATTTATTGAAAACATTTGTTGGTGTATGTTGTAATTTTGTTTCTTGCCAGTTCAGTTTTCGGTCCTGAAATACTATTGTTATGGAACAACACTTTGGTAACTTTAATGAACTGGCATGAGTTTGTATTGCGTTGGGGTACATTACCTGGGAAAACGCTTTGCTTTTTGCCTGCATCTTTTTCTTTGTGTTTAAATTGGTCCAGAACTTGAAATTTGTGTCTACTTTAGAATAGTAAAATCCCTTGGTTTCTAGCATTATGACCTTTTTATGTTTAATGTGAAACTTTTGCTCCAGGAAATTAGAGGATGGTGATATAATCAATGTTGATGTGACTGTGTATTATAAAGGCGTCCATGGTAATTTGTATTCTAGACATTAACATGTAGTTCAATTTTGAAAACACATGTTCTTTTCTTGAACTGCCGAACTCATATTGCAGGTGATTTAAATGAAACATACTTTGTGGGAAATGTTGATGAAGAGTCTCAACGGCTAGTCCAATCTACTTATGAGAGCATGGAGAAAGCAATATCCATCAGTACGTGCACAGTATGATATACCAATTTTAAGATAAATATCTCTCCCTGATCTCCCTTTTTAACGCATCCATCTAATTATTGCTTTAACAATCATGCAACTCAATTATATCACTGAAAGTCATCACACCTTTTATCGGCTACCTAATATTCATTTATATGGTATACTAATCGTTTTATCTGATGTGCTTTTTATTACTTTTGGTACCATGGAAGTTGTAACTTGTAAGTAATCATTGTTAAAATGTATTTGTAGTTGTGTTTGCGTAATTGTATCAGTAAATTCTGTGAAGATTTTTTAGTTATAAGTGCAATCTTGTCACCTGACCTGATGGTAACTGAAATGTTGAAAAGTCAACCTATTTAACCCCTATTTGAGAGTGCACTCTGGTAATTTCAATCGTTGTTAACAAAAAGCATAAAAGGGAAAGTATATTTCTAATTTATTTATATATTGATTTTTGTACAAGTGCAGTAAAACCTGGAATGCGATTCCGTGAAGTCGGTGAAGTCATTAATCGCCATGTAACAATGTCGGGATTCTCTGTGGTAATTTGTAGCTTGAGTTTTGAGTTGTGATGCAGTTTCAATTTTAACAAATCATGCCTATTAATTTTGTATTGCACCAACAGGTGAAATCATATTGTGGTCATGGTATTGGGGAGCTTTTTCATTGTGCACCAAATATTCCCCATTACACAAGTATGTTCAACAAAGAAACTTCTTTATATCTGAATTACACTTTTTATTGCTTGCACCTTTAACATACATTACCTTAACCCAAACAGGAAACAAAGCAGTTGGTGTAATGAAAGCTGGACAGACTTTTACAATTGAACCCGTGATAAATGCAGGTATATTTCAAAGCTTGTTTTATGAGCACTTGGGGGGTGATATGTTCTTTAATTGTTTGCTACATCTTAATAAAATAAATAAAACATGAACAGGGGTTTGGCGTGATCGGATGTGGCCTGATGGATGGACAGTTGTTACCGCAGATGGCAAGCGCAGTGCACAGTTTGAGCACACACTTCTGGTAACCATGCAGTTTATGTTCTATGTGTAGCATGCTTTCAACTTCTGCAACGGTGACTGCATTATAGTTATTAGAAGTGCTTATGTGGTTTTAATACTCAAATTCCATGGAATGATCTGTACATGTTCTTTTAACATTTCTTCCTTATGTTTCTCATAATATCATTAGTGAGGTTGTTCTAGGGTATAAATCAGTCAGCTCATTTGTGTAAAAGAAAATAAATAAGTCTTCTACTCAATATAGTAACGATGGATAATACTCGATTATTGATGGTATGAGAGGATAGTAAAGGTGATAGAGATCTTTGCAGCGGGAGATTTACAGGTTTTAAATATCAAATTATCCCAACATTGAATTGCAATGCTATGCATCTATTAACAAATACACTAAGTAATAGTTGGCGTTGCATGGATATTAGTCTGAGTTAATCCCTGTTATTCACATCTGTTTGCTGAATTGCTATCTATACGATGATCTTGTATCTCTAATCTCGTGGTTTATTCTTCCTACACATGCATAGGTGACAGAGACTGGAGTTGAAGTTCTTACAGCTCGGTTGCCATCATCACCCAAAGTGTTCCCTTGGTTAAATGCTTAATGACTGCGTCCGTCTTGGTTCATCGAAAGGGGTGAACAGACATAAGGATGTCATTCATGGTAATCATGCATTAGTAAGAGGAGAAGAATAATCATTTGATAATGTTACTTCCACTGCCTCTTCTGCTGGGTCAAGATATCATGTGTGTAACTTACTGGTTAATATAGTTAAAGAAAGTTTTGGTTAAGGAGCAATAATTTTTTTTGGTCGTTTTGCAAGAGTTGTATGAATCATTCATAAACAATGGTCATTGTGAAGGAATTGTATCGTGTGCAACATGTATGATGCCCAACAGCTTGTGAATTTCTACGGAGTTTGCATTTTGGGAAATATTTTTGCTCGCCATCCTTTTAAGTGGTTCTGTTGCCAATTTCAGACACATATTGCAATCAAAATACGATGCAACTCGGGGCTGAGACCGTGGAATTCAGGAAGAGTCTTCATCTTCATCATGTTCAAATTTGTCATTTTCAAGCACTGATGAGGAATCACTATCATCATCATCGCCATCATAATCACCATCTTCCGTCTGTTCATACGAGTTAAAAATCTTTTGGGCCAACAGGTAATACATGAGTTTTCTTGCTGCGTCGTCGTCGTTAGAAGCCATGATCATGGTAAACAAGCAAATAAATTAAACAGGAAGAAGACTTGCAAGGCAGAAGTAAACGAAAAGAGTATATTAACTAGGAACTTAGGCTTTCTGTACTACAGAGGCCCCCGATGTATGTATTTATAGGGCAGGGTAGGTGAGACTTCTGTACTTAATGAAACCTAATCGGACTAGGAGTCTCGGACTATTAATAGTAATGGGAGTGGGATTTCTTGTTTGACAAGTTTCCAAATCCGACATGCAAACGGTACCACAAATTACGGGAAATTTTACTTACTATTCTTACATAATAATAATAGGGTGAACTGTCGATTTTGTCCTTGAATTATCATGTCAATGAAAATGAGGTGCCTAAATTATTTTTTCAATAAAATAAGTCTTTGAATTCATTAAAAATTGCTAATTTCGTACCTAATATTATACTTAAAGCTATTTTATTATTTTTTTCGTCAAATTTAGTCACATGACATATTTTAGAGGACATTGACACCATTTTCTTGCCCATAAGCTCTTAATGTTGTATATAGGTTACAAATCTAATGTCTAATTTACACTTCAAAATTAATTCCATACACTATTTTTCTAAAAAAATATGTCCTTAAACCATGAAAAACAACCAATCTATTTTCTAAAGTGTATCATATGCAAGTCACGTTATTTAAATTGATGAAAAATTGAATAGAATAGATTGAAATTTAATATTAGGGATGTAATGGGTAATTTTATTAGTTTGAGGACGGATTTTTCTGAAAAAAGTAATAATTTAGGGACTTAATTTTTAATAAGGTAATAATTTAAGGACTAAATCAACAGTTCACCCATAATAATAATTGCTTGGGACAAAGGTGGGATAAAGTAATTAGAACAGCTGATAATTGTACAATGAGAGGCTATTCTAGTTTTAACCTTTAAGCAAATAAACAGTTCTGAATATGAAAGTTGTACAGTGAAAACACGTTAATGGTAAATAATGGACAATGTGGTATTGTTTATTGTAATTAGCAGCTTGAGGCTACAATGCGGGAGGCTAAAATTTCTAATTTCCTTGTCCTTGTAAGTATATAAGTCAGTCCTTATCAACCACCGTGTACTTTCCTTTCAATTAACGTGAGCATGCATACAATAAATACAAACGATTTTGCCTTAATTTCCAATTTCTTTTTGATAGAATTATATTCGGGGGTGGATATCAAGCCAAGCTACAAAACCGATCGGCCATAATTAGGTATCAAACTTGTTGTGGAGCCTAAAATAATCTCAAAAATATTAGAATCGACACGTGGACTTTTGTTCAAGAAAGACTAGATTGCTCTAATTAAATGAGTAGACTTCTCAGATACTCCCACACACAACTCAGCACCCCTAAAGGTCCAAGCAGCTGAATACGATTGCTTACAGCTCACTTGCCCATTGCAAGGAAAAATGAAAGCATTAAAGATGAGGAATAAATACCCAAATCCTATCTTTAATACATTTCCAATTAAAGATTGACTCCATTAAAGTAAGTAATCCTTATTTAAATCAATTAGGGATATTTACACTATTATCTCAAGATATTATTTCATATTTAATATCTTGAGAATATTCTCTACATAAACCTTGGCCAATAGGATGTTGCCATGTGTATGGTAAAACCCTAACACCATGGCTGACCCTTCCTCTTATAAATACATCTATCTCTACCAAATTTCGGTAAGTTTTTGCAACCCTTAAAAGCCCTAAACACTTACTCTTTTAAGAGAAACTAACTTAGACATCAGAGATTCATTGACCTAACCTCTCTCCTCCATGCCTTATGGGCACGTGAGGCTTAGATCTTTTATCAAAGGTGTTGATTGTTTTGCAAATGCATTTTCGTCAAGACTAAAGGCGAAAATTTGCATCGACAAATTGGTGTTTTCGTTGAGAGCTGATTCAAATACTCCAAGATGACTCTCGCATTTGGTTTCTTGAATTTTCTACTAAGTTGAATTCCTCACTTGTTTATCAATTAATTTTTCTTAGAAAAGTTTATTCATCAATCCCTTAGAAAGGATACAATGGTAGGAAATTCAGAAACTACGACGACGTACATTTAAGGATTTGGACAGGAGAACGGGGACGAGGAGCGTCATCGCTGTGGAGCCACATTTGTCGTGGCCACCACTTTGCAACGCACGACAAGGACCACTGCAGCAGTAGCCCAAGTTGGAGCCTAGACGCGTGCGATAGTGGCTCACCATGCTGCGCAGGAGCCTACGGCCTAAGGGCCAGAAGGCCTACAACGTGGTAGTTACAACAGTAGACTTAAGCTAGGAGGCCCAACCCATTGCAACAGCCAAGCTGCGATGGCAGCTTAAGCCAGCGAGAAGCAAGCAGTAGCCCAGCGAGTAGAAAGGGCTTTCGGGTAGATGGCCTAAGCCCAGCCGCCACCAACCAAGCCAAGCTCACCACCAAGCAACGACCCATGTTTATGTGCTGGTCCATGGGTAAGAGGCCCATACCACATCAGCTCAAGCCGTTAGCCAAGTAGCTCAAGCTGTAGCAGCTTGAGCCACAATGGCCTAAGTCTAGGACCAAGCCCACTTCGTTGTAACAGCAGCCTAGGCCTGCAAAGAGCAGGCGCCAGTCGAAGTTGCGACGCAAGCAGCGCTAGCCCAAGAGCAGGAGGCCCACTCGCAAGCAAAAATGGCCCCAACACACAGCCCAACCAGCTAGGTAGGTTGGCCCACCTTGAGACCTACTTCTGTAACCCAGATTGGCTTAAGGCTATTTTAGGTGATCCGAATTCTGACCATCAGATCGATGATCAACCCAAAGGTATTTTCACCCTATTTTTCAGCAAGTATGCCCGCTTCGGGCCTAAGTTTTGTACTTGCAGTTCATTACGCTTCCACCACATATAGAGACACCTATCATCCAGACTATTCCACTCCAAATGGCGAACATCACTTCGCCAGCAGGTTGTCGACCTAACCAACACCCTCGCGTAGCAAACCACCTTGGTGAATCAGCTTTTTGAGCACATTGAGGCACAGTGCGCCCCATACAAGGTGTCCCGAAGCAGGATAAGGGCAGATGATTGTAACTTTTTCCAGCGACGTCCTGGCAGAAAGTCGTTCAGCCTGCCACGAACCATGTGTTCGGGTAGTGTACACTCTCAACTTGGCCCTTAGAAAAATGTCTTCTTCTGCCTTAATGCACAAAGAAACATTCATTCTCGACTTAGCCCACGAGTTAGTGTGCATTCGAGGTTCCAATGGGCTCTTTGGACATTTTAGGTGAATCGTCCATATAAGGTTAAACCCACAAGGAAATCCTAATGCTAGGCATTATAGTAGGCATCTGCAAGATAAATCGAGGAGAGCATGAGAGCATTTCAGCAAAAATTCAACTGGTAACCCCTGCTAAGCATGACTACGAATAGCTTGCTCACCAGCCAGAAATGAACCGCATACACCGCAATCGTGGTGCAGATGAGTAGGACATGTGGAAGAGCAACATAGATAGAAGGTCAACACTAAAAGCAGAGGCAAATCCATAAGGAAGTATAAAGGCTCGTAGCAGAGCAGCTGCACGGATTCTAGAGCATTGAAACCATTGAAGAAGCTTAACCCCGTTAGAAGCACATCCAAAAAAGATCTGAGCAACCCTAGATATGAAATCCCTCACTACTTTAAAGGAGAGCAGTAACACTCAATCATTTCCTCTTACGACCTAACCAGTGATGCAAGCTTTTTTTTCATGATGATTAGGAATACGCGACGAGATAGACGAAGTGCGAGAGAACATTCTAAGACTTGAAGAAGTACCTAACATGACTTCCTCTACTATCCAACCAGGACGCAGAGAGGGACTTGTACATCTATCTGGTGGTATCTGAAGCAGTAGTGAGCTCTACCCCTATACGAGAAGAGCTGGGGGCTCAACTACCTGTATTTCACAGTTAGAAAGCTGTACTTTTAGACGCATGCAATCATTGTCATGACCTAGTATTTCATACAATCTAGACACGCTATGATAAAGGTACATACATCAATATACATTCCGACGAACGCAACAACTTAGCCCAAAGCCACGCTGGGGGCAGATGAGCACTAGAAGGATGCATCAACTTAACCTGCAAGAGAGTTCCTTCAACTATCGGGATCAGAAGCATGCCTAGTCCTCATTACCTAAACGATTCCATATATGGAGCAGCCCAACGCCAGTAGTCAAGCACTATCTCCCGTTGCGCGCAACTTAGCCCTATAGCGGCCCAATACTGATAGTTGAACATTACCTTCTACCGTGCATAACATGGCCCAGCCGGCCTCAACTCTTTAGCTTTTAGCTATGCCTATCATGCACAATGGTTGCCAACCATAATAAACTTGTCATGAGGCTCCCCGCAGCGTCGACCAGGCTAACAACGTTCCGAGCTTCAAAACATCCAACAATGTAGTAGAATATAAGGCTTTACCAGCAGCCCCTGGCTAGTGAAAGACTTAGAGGTGAAAAAGCTCACAATCCATTCAGATTCATTCACAACGACGATTTCTATGCTCTCCAGTGTGAGAGGGTTATTTCAGTTATCCAGTAGTCCAGCTTTCTTCAGCTACATTCACAACGATGATTTCTATGCTCTTCAGTGTGAGAGGGTAAACCAATCCCCCGACACCCATCT